TAGCTATTGACACGTGGCAGCAGCGAACCAAATTCAATTTGAATTGGTTATTCGTTCACATTGGCCTCATATGTATAAATATATTATTATATTAAATTTAATCAATTAAGCTGCCTGCTGAATTTCCTTCTTTAACCTTCCATCTTTAATTCGTTTTAGCTTCAAACTTCTTCATTTTTCCACCAATTTAATCTTACAAATAAAATATACTATTTAGCACAATTCATAAAATTCATGGTCAAAAAGGAGAAATATAAATAATAAATCTGAGGCATATAATGATTAAAAATATGTATTTTGGCCTCAAATCAGAAACCAAGGAGCAAAAGTTTATTAACCTTCGATAAAAGTGTATAAGTGTGAGGGAATCTGCTCTAAAGTTCACACAATTGTCTAAATATGCTCCAACAATGTTTGCCGATTCAAGGATAGGATGAGTAAGTTCGTTTTGGGTGTGTCCAAAATTGTAGTTGAAGAGTTTCGTACCACCATGTTCATTAATGACACGGACATCTCTCGTCTCATGGTTCATTCAAAACAGATTGAGAAGGATAAACTTAAGGAAAAGTATAGGAAGACAAAGAGGGCTAAAACCGGTGATGGTTATTTATCTCATGCATGGTTCGATTGACATGGACATCCTAAGTTTCGACAAAAGTTTTCCAGTCAAGTTTCCTCCAATGCTCCCCCTAAGTTCAACAAAAATAGGGTGTCTAACCCTTAGCCTCAAGGAGGGAACGGTAGTGGATCTTCATTGTCCATGTCTACTTATACTAGGTGTGGAAAGAAGCAAGAGGGTACGTGCCTAGCCGGGACAGATGGTTGCTTCAATTGTGGTAAGAGTTGTCATAAAATGAGGGATTTCCCAAATCTTATGGCTAAGGAGAGAGAGGGAAAGCAAGCTCCTAACCAAAACTAATTCTATGCGCTTCAGACTCGTGGTGAACAAGAGGGTTATCCTGATGTGGTTACCGGTATGTTGAAAGTTTTCCAACCTAATGTTTATGCTTTACTTGATCGCGGTGCTACCTTGTCTTTTGTGACGCCATATGTGGCTATGAGGTTTGATGTTCTTCCAAATGTGTTGTTAGATATTTATTTGTCTCTACTCTTATTGATGATTCTATTATGGCTAAGAGTGTCACGACCCGAGAGCACCCCCTAGTCGTAACACAGTGTACTCGACCCCGAAGGGGTCTTATATAAGCCTCATAGTCATTCATTGCATTCAATAGTGAAAATAGCGCGGAATTAAAAACTTATTTAAATCCAAACATTCAAACTTCATTAAAAACAACCTTTAAAAGACACAACGGAAGTCTAAGTCTCACATGGCCATCTTAACAAAATCTTTAAAACTATAGTAGGGACACGACCCTTTACAATCAAAAGAACTAGAATTGTCTATTACATTCAAAAGGAAAGAAATTTCAAAAGACACTTCTCCTCGATCTATGAGGATGTACCACTCTAGCCTTGGAGGAATAGCGATCCAAGCTCTTCAATCTAGCTAGAATCAATCACTTGCCGGAACCTACACTTGTAGTTAAAAGGGAGAAATATGGGTTAGCACACAAAAATGTACTAAGTATGATGACCATGCAAAAGCATGCTTTAAAAGGGACACTTTGGTTGGAAACCATGTATTACGCCACTTTTTAGAAATATCATGTACAATAGCATAAGAGACATACAATACAAGTATAATCATCATGCAAGTCATCATACCACATTTAGACAATATCATCATGTAAACCATTACCTTTACCTTAGACCTTCACCTTAAGTAACCCTTATGCTATACCTTGTGCAATGCATGGATAGTGTCCCATACCACCATCCATACCAAGGCACCATACTAAGGTCACCAAAAGTGAACTTACCATTCCTTCCTTTTCACCTTTGCACAATATCCACGCATAAGAGACATAACATTTCATAAGGCATGGCAAGGGAGAATAACTCATAATCTAACCCCAAGTATAGCATGCATATCACATTAAGCATTTAAGAGTCAACATTCTTCAAATACTTCATTTAGAGGACTTTCTTTCATTTAATCATTTAGACTTTCTCACTATGATCCTATCAAAGCCTACTAGTGCAATGTATAGATGACATCCCATACTACCACCTACACTTCATAGAACCTCTCAAAAAATCATAAGACACATTTCACATGATGTGAATAAGCGTTTAACCGACATAGACCATGAAAGCTAGACATGAAATCCAGTGTCATAAAGCCCCACACCGTAAAGAGGTGTTCTATTTGCCTAAGGTAGAACGATAACATTAGCTCAGATGAATCCTTAGCGTGGATGAAATCTGCTGGCTAATATCCTATGTAGGCACATAGTTATGGGATAGGAAGATGTTCCTTAGAACTCTAACCTAACATTGGGAGAGTTTCCATCTAACCATATTCACTCGGTGCTTAGCCTACATTCCCATAGATTATTTCATTCACATTACATTAGTGTATTAGGGAGGAATGCCATATGCCTATCGACCCATGATACATCACTACCAAGGAAGGAATGCTATAAGCCTATCGATCCATGGTACAAGGATAACTCTAGGGTCACCATGAAAAGAATGATATAAGCCTATCGAATCATGGTCCCTCATTACATTCTTATACTCAAGAAAGGAATGCCACTAGCCTATTGATTGATGGTACACTGACTCATTAAGAAAGGAATGTCACTAGTCTATCGATTCTAGAGTCTTCATTACATTAGATCATTTATGAAGAGAATGCCTAAAACCTATCAATTCATAGCCATCAAGTCAAGACACATTCATCCCTTATCTATGAAAGGAATTCCATAGCCTATCGATTCATATTACTCAAGTCGAGACACATTCATTACTCAAGAAAGGCTGCCTAAGCCTACCAATCCAAGATATACAATATATAGAAGACAACACTTCACATTCCATCATCATCATACATAAGTGTCAAATTGAGAAATAGCCTTTCAATAATAACATATTTACATTCACAATATTATCACATTAACTTCATTGAATTCACATTCATATACTTAGTAAGTAAACACCTTCACCTTTCAAGTGGATCAACATCTCTAGCACAATTCTACTTCAACAAGTAATTTAGTCAAAACATTCCTTCAAGGCCATAACTCTCAAATCATCAACACAACAACAATTCACCATAATTAAGGATTAGATAATGATACAATTCAATAGCCGAAAGCAATTTAGATATATTTCAATCATAAGTCTTCATAATCAACAAACCCACTTCATAAAGACACAAATTAGGAATTGAGAGCAATCATGGGTTCATAGAATATTTTCATCCTAAATCATCAATTAAAAATCAATACAATCAATATATGATATTGGAAACCATTTGAAATTGTTTGGAGAAAGAACCCACGAGATTGAGTAAAACCCTTGGTTTTTCATGAACTTTGAAAACTTCTTCGAAATTGACTCTAGGGTGAATACTAATCCTAGATGAAGGATCACCATACCTTTTTACTAAGATTTCCCCATGAAAATTGATGAAGAAAGCCTTGACTCCAAACCCTTGCTTTCACTTCTTCTTCTTCCTTGAGTTAGAGAGAGAAATATTGAGAGAGGAAGAACTTTGGGGTTTTGATTAAATGAGTAAATGAAGTGTTTTAAGACTTCAAACTATTTGTATTTATGATATAAACCATTTAAAATCAACCACACATAATAAAACATTAAAATAAAATTACTTAAAAACCTTAATTTGGGCAGCCCCATCAGGGACCAAGTCCACTTCTACGGACCGTGAAAGGGGACCACGGCCCGTGGTGGTGCCTATGGTCCTCTAGGCAGTAGCTCCCTTGACCTTGATAAACCTCCACATGGCCAAGTCGTCTTCACGGACACTTCTTTGGGCCGTGGTCATGACCACTGGCCGTGAAGTGGCCCGTGGTCTTGAGGCAGTGGCTTGGCCAAGTTGCCTTGCTTGCCATGCCACCAAGTGACCTTCAAGTCCACTTCTATGGACCGTGGTCAAGACCACTGGCCGTGAAGTGATCCGTGGTCTTGGGGCAGTAGCTTGGCCAAGGTTGGGCAGCCTTGGCCTTTGTCTTAGGCCTTGCCCCCTTGGCTTGGCACTTTCCCCTCCAACCCTTAACCAACATCAAGAAGGGTCTATCAATAACGGAGTCCATCACGTACCTTGACGTTGACTCACTAAACTCCATCAAACAAGGCTCGGGACAACATTACACAACATGAAACCTCGTTACAAACTCAACACAAAGTTATTAGGATCTAGTTTCACTAGTTCATTTTTTGGGTCGTTACATTATCCACCACTTAAGAACATTCGTCCTCGAATGAAACTTTAAACACGTTAATGGGTAACGACTCAAGACTAGCTGCCCACAATCATGACACATCAATACACATGCACAACATCATAGGAGGAAACATCAACTCCACATCAATAAGCTCAATGCATATATAAGAAAATAGGAACTAAATCTACGAACTCATTATGAACAAAACATGAACATTTCTAGTTTCATTGGAGGAACTTCCTTCTCCAACTCACATCGTGCTCATCATAACATCATTAGGCACATTATGCAATTTTCTCTTAAAAGCACATTATGCAACTCTTTCAAGAACATATTTAAGCATACTCAACAAGTCAACTCATGAAGCATTTAAGCAACTCATCATAGATGCATATCAACATGAGGAGCACAATCATGAAAACTCATTTTCTCATATGAACATAAACTTCATTAAAACATGCATAACATAAGGAAACCATGGAAACTCATTTTCACATAGGACCCCAAAACATGATACAAGCTACTAGGAACTCTTGGTCTCAAGCTTGAATAAGAATAGAAGGAAAGAGATAAGGACATCAAAACTCACCACAACCTACAATTCAACATACCATCCCCCACTTAGGAGAAAACCCAACTAAGGATAACATGAACATCAACAAAAGAATCTCATCACAATAAAAGGAACTATAACTTACTGGTGCCTTCATCCGGATTAGCTCCTTTGTCCTTGTTAGCTTTAAGAGCATAGAAACGGTTCTTCTTTGGAGCATTAGGATTCAGGCCAACATAAGAAGCTTGTTTGGCCTCCCTTCCTCTAGCCGTAAAAGTAGAACAATTCCTCACTTGATGATCAGGATTTCCACAACCATAGCACCCACTAGTACCGACTAAGCACTTTCCATTATGCCTCTTCCCACAAGTGGTACAAAGAAGCTTAGAAGATTGAATTCCACCGTGTTTCTCCTCATTAGCCTTAGGAGCACTAGAAGAATCTTGGTTAGGATATCTCTTCTTTAACCTAGGTTGACCTTGCTCATCGAAACTACCCATTTTCAACTCCCTACCCTTTCTCTTAAGTTTGGACTTCTCAATAGATTGAGCATACACCATAAGTCTAGAAATGTCCATATCATTGTGGAGCATCGTCGTATGACACTCTTTCTCAACTAGGTCGGATATACCCATCACATACCTACTCATCTCATCCCTAGGGTTAGACACCAATGATGGAGTACTCTTCCACACTCATGCTACCTTGCTTAAGATTTATGAACTCCTCAACCTTACACTCCCTCTTCTCACGGGGAAAGTACCTACCAAGGAAAGCTCCTTGAAACTCCTCTCATTCTATCGGACCCGCTTCTAAAGGCCTATTACTTTTCCATTGAGTGAACCACACTTGGGCCACGTCTTTCAATTGATAGGAAGCCAACTCCGCTTTCTCCCTAGAAGATACCCCCATAGCATTGACTATCTTATATACTTCATCCAAGAATTCTTGGGGATCCTCTCCCACTCTAGAACAAAGAAATATCCGAGGATTAATTCTCACAAAGTCTCTCAACCTTGAGGCCACGGTACTCTTATTAGCATTCACCTTAGGCCCCACATATTGGTTAGCTTGAGCCATCATAGCTTGAGCTAAGGTTAGAAAAGCCTCCCTAATCTCTTCATTGGTCATGCCCGGGGGATCCACCGGAACTTGATTTTCTTGAGGTACTTGGTAACCTTGAAGACCTTGGGGAGGAACTCCCTCATTCCCTATCTCCTCTTCCATCCTTCTTGGGTTAGCCCTTGTATTCATATCCTATAAACACAAGAGAAGGGTTAGGAAATCTATAAAACTAAAATCTAAGGCATGACTTCAAGATTATGAAAGAAGTGTAACTTTCTAATGTCCTATAGCCTCTCACTCATAGATGTATCTCGACTCACACCGATGAACAAGACACTACTAGACGTGGCTTGTGAGACTTTGATTCTAAAACCATTTCCACAAACTTATGCTCTGATACCATGTTTTTCACGATCCGAGAGCACCCCCTAGTTGTAACACGGCGTACTCAACCCCGAAGGGATCTTATATAAGCCTCATAGTCATTCATTATATTCAATAGTGAAAATAGTGCGGAATTTAAAAGTTATTTAAATCCAAACATTAAAACTTCACTAAAAACAACCTTTAAAAGACACATCGGAAGTCTAAAAGGGACATTTTAGTTGAAAGCATGCAATTTACTAAGTTAAATCATCATTTTGAAGATAATGGAAAATCATAAGTCATAAGCATAATTAACTCATAGATTATCTTACCATACGAGGAACATATCATAAATACCCACAAAGCATACTTGTGCAATGCACAAATAAGATCCCATAATCTCACCCATACTAAGTAAAGCTTCTTGAGTAACCATAGTTCATAATTCATACTCTTGTTCATACTATTATCATAATGGGGAATAAGCCTTAACCAACATAGACCATGTGAGCTTACCATGAAATCCGGTGTCTACCCCACACCGAAAAGGGGTTGTCCTACTTGCCTAAGGTTGAACTGTACTCTTAGCTTAGGTAGATCCACTAGCTAATAACCTATGAGGGCATAAAGTTTATGGGATAAGGAGATCGCCACTAGAAACCCAAACTCAACTAAGGTAGAAGGTTTCCATCTCATGATATACATACTTTGGGAAATCAGACTCAACTAAGGTAGAAGGAACCCATTTGGAAAGCCGGACTCAACTAGTGTAAAAGCTTTCATGGGGAAGCCAGACTCAACTATCGTACAAGTTTTTATCTCATATTCATATCCACTTGGTGCTAAGAATTAATTCCCATGGATTATATATTAAGTCTTGACTTAAGTTCATATTCATGGAAGAATGTCTTGACACTTAATCCAACATATTTCATACTATACCTCATAGATTCAATAGGTGAGAATAGCCTTTCAATTTGAGAATCATCATATTGTTGTAACGACCCAAAAAAAAACTAACTAGTGAAACTAGAGCCTCACATGTGAGTTTGGAGTTGAGAACTTGATGAAATGATGAGAAATGACAGTGACGTCCGGAAACTAGTCGTTTGAACTAGTAAGTTGTAAGGGTCTTGTCGTTGAAGTTTAGAGTGTTGTTTAAGGGCTTAAGGGGTTGATTAGCTATTTGATTAATCACCTTTATAAGCTAGAAAGACCTTAAGCTAGGTCATGTAATCATTTAGAACCGAGACCCTCAAAACAGTCCCCTAAAAACAGTTTTTAGTTTTAAGTTAGGAGTGAGGGTCAACTTTAAATGGTCATATCTTTTAGCTAAAAATGAATTAGGTGGACCATTACCTATCCAATTAAAGGTATCTGAGTCCTCTTTCCAACGCCACCGAGTTTGCCCTTTTCCGATCTCGGTGTAAAAAGTTATGCCCAAAATAGTGAAGCACTGTCAGCAAGGACGAGCTTAGACGGGTTTAGTGGAAACTTTTAAGTGGGTCCTTATTTCTTTTCCTAAGTTGAGCCCATTTTATTATATGACTTTCCTAGCAATTATAAAACCCTTCTAGACCAAATTCTTCCATTTTAAGTCACTCCAATTAGAATTAAAAAGAACTCACCTCCTCTCAAATACTTTTCTCTCTACAATCCTTCATTTTAAAAAGGTCAAGAACTTGGAGCTAGGGCTTGGATTGAAGGTGGTTTCTTCATCAATTTTCTTGGGGAATCTTAACAAAGGTATGGTGACCCTTGATCCTTGATTATCTTTCCTTCAAGGAGTCCATTCAAAAGGGTTTCAAAAGTCTTCAAAGAGCAAAACTTCTATTTTCTATTCTAGGTATGGGTTCATGGGTAAAATGTTTTCAAAGTCATTATATTGGTGAATTGAAGTTCTATTTATGATTTTAAGATGATTTTTATATGAAACTTCTTCAAGAACCCATGTTTTCATTAAAACCTAGAATTTGCTAATGAAGTGGGTTTAATGCCTATGATTTAATGTTGATGAAATTGAGTTTAGATTGGATTGTATTGTTGATTTATATGGTTTTCTATACCTATTTATGATGAATTGTTGGTATATGGATGAATTGAGGATTGTGGCCTTATGGGCAAGTTATGGATGAATTCTCTTGTGGTAAGAAAAATGGTTGGGACTTGAGTGTTGTTGATTATGGCTTTGGAGGATGGTAAGTTGGCTTAATCTCATATTATGGATAAAAAAAAATTGTTCTTGCTTGGTTTGATCCACTTATGGTGGAGGTGTTTAATTATGGAATGTATTGTGACCATGGCCTTGAAGGCATAGTATGAGAAATACAAGTGTTACATGACATTTTTATGAATGGACATTCAATGGAGCTAATGTGATCATGTTATGAACGTAAATGTGTTATTATTGAAAGGATTTTTCTCAATTTGACACTCATGAATGTTGATGATAGAATATGAAGGATTCTCCAATTTATTGCATCTCTCGAATTGGTAGAGCTTGTGCATCATTTTCTTGTTTAAATGATTATATTATTGGTTGTTGAATCCTCGGATCGGTAGGCTAGTAGCACCCTTCCACTCATGATAATACATACCTTGGAATCGGTAGGCTTATTGCACCCTTCCATTAATGATAGTAATGAACCTTGGAGTCGGTAGGCCTATGGCACCTTTCCATGAAGGTTAATGATGAGACTTGAACCGGTAGGCCCATGGCACCCTTTCAAGAGGAGTTAATGAGCTTTCCTAAATGAACCTTGAAATGGTAGGCTTAAAGCACCTTTTCACGTGTTAATGAATGTAATTTGGAGTTGGTAGGCCAATGGCACCTCTCATATGTGATAATGTCAAGGTAACGAACTATTCTATGGGAATGTAGGCTAAGCACCGAGTGGATTTGGTTAGATGGAAACTCCCCCAATGGTTAGGCATGAGTTTCAATGATCGTCTACCTTATCCCATAAACTATGTGCCCGCATAGGTAGCTAGTGGATCCATTAAGCTATATATACCGGTCTTCCTTAGGCAAGTAGACCACCTCTTTACGGTGTGGGGACTTATGACACCGGATTCCATGACAAGCTCTCATGGTCTATGTCGGTTAAACGCTTACTTCCCATCATGTGAGATTTCATTATGGTTTCTTGATAGGTTCTACAAAGTGTAGGTAGTAGTATGGGATGCTACCTATACATTGCACAAGTAGGCTTGGAGAGGGTCATAGTGAGTTTCTCTAAATCCTAATGTATGTGACACAATTGTGGCCTAAATGAGGTTATTAAAGAATGTTGGCTCTCAAATGCTTAATATGCGATGCATGCTATACTTGGGTTATATTATGAGTTATTTTCCCTTGTTATGTCTTAATTAATGATATACCCCTTATGTATGAATATTGTGCAAAGGTAAAAGAAAGGAATGATAAGTTACTTTAAGTGACCTTAATGTGGTGCCTTAGTATGGATGGTGGTATGGGACGCCATCCATACATTGCACGAGGTATAGCATAAGGGTTTCTTGAGGTGAAGGTCCAATGTAAAGGTTTTCATGTTGATATTGTTTAAAGGTGATATTATGACTTACTTGATGTTTATGCTTGTCTTGTATGTCTTTTATGCAACTGTTCATGATACTTCAAAAAGTGGCATAATGCATGGTTTCTAGCCAAAATGTCCCTTTTTAAAGCATGTTTTGCATGGTCATCATACTTAGTACTTAATTGTGCTAATTCCATATTTCTTTATTTTCTACTAGTGTAGGTTCCGGAAAGTGAGCGGGTTCTATAGTAAGCTTGGAACTTGAAGTTCTTCCAAGATCTTGTGGTATGTCCTCATATGTCGAGGACAAGAATTTTCTATTCTAATTTTATGATAAGGTTCTTGTAATAGACTTAATAGACTTCTTTTGATTGTAAAGGGCCGTGTCCCTACTTATGTTTTGTGATTGTGTCTAAGATGGCCATGTGAGACTTAGACTTCCGCTGTGTGTTTTTAAAGTTGTTTTTATGAAGTTTAAATGTGTGGATGTAAATAAGTTTTTTTATTCCGCACTATTATCATTATCGAATGCAATGAATGACTATGTGGTTCGTATAAGACCCCTTCGGGGTCGAGTACGCCTTGTTACGACTTGGGGGTGCTCCCGGGTCGTGACAATTGTGAGAAGACCTTTCACATCATATAATATTCATAAATAAGTGTGT